CCCTCCATTCAGGTTGAGACAATGCTTCCGGTACAGACCTGGGTATCACATGTGAAGAGACAGAAGCAAGAAAGGAGTAGTAGGAAGGAGAGAGATGGCTGTAAGATAAATGTTTGGAGATGCAATGGGCTACACTTCCGCTTGCCCTAGCGAAGAGCAATTGGAAGGTCAAGGTCAGGGGCAATCGAAGGTGGGTCGATAGAGGGCTGACTTGTTTCCTTAGGAACTGTGGGAGTGGCCAGATGCTCTTCTGAAGGAGTGGAAACAACCTGCATATGTCTGAATCTCCGCCTTTGATAACACCTTTGGAGAGTAGGAGCAGAAGCAAGAGGAGGACCAGGGGTGGGTCCAGTGGAAGAGGTGGACACCCCATGATCAGACCCACAAGGGATGGGAAGAGGAACAGTTGGAGACATAGCAAAGGGTTCATCAGATTTCTCCCCCTCAGGAGGAACACTAAAGAAAGGAGTCAACTCTGCAAAGGTGACATCYCGAGATACAAAGCGGGTGCCACGAACTGGATCAAAACAACAATAACCCTTTTGTGTAGAGGCATATCCCAGAAACACGCACTTATGAGCTTTAGGTTCAAATTTATGCCTTTGGTGACTATGAATATGCACATAACAAGTACTCCCAAATACACGGAGAGGGAGAGAAAAGAGATTCTCATCCGGGAAGAGAAGACTAAAGGGGGTTTTAAAGCCAAGGACCTTGGAGGGCATACGGTTGATTAGGTAGGTAGCAGTATGAATAACATCTCCCCAAAACCTTATAGGAACATGGGATGCAAATATAAGGGATCTAGCAACCTCAACCACATGTTTGTTCTTTCTTTCTGCCACCCCGTTTTGTTGTGGAGTGTAGGAACAAGAGCTTTGATGAATAACCCCATGCGGGAATGAAACCGAAGGGCCCTACTGAGAAAAGAGAGCAGTTGTGTGAATATTGCAAGAAACCACGACATACAAAGGACACCTGCTGGAAGCTTCATCCTGAACTTCTTCCCGATAGAAGAACAATAATAACTCTAAGAAGGGCAGTCAGGTGGGAAAATCCAAGACTGCTAATGCTGCTATAGTGCTTGAGAGGGGAAGTAAGGAAAGTGAAGAAAAATCAACTATTGAGCAATTGGCTACAATGAAGCTGGATTTTGAGAAGTATAGGAGGCTCCTAAATCACCTGGAAGCTACGGTTTCTTCAACTCACCCTTCCAACAGTACATCATCTTCATCGGCTTTTGCTCACTTAGGTACATATGCCTCAGCAAATCATGCTTCAGCTTTAGGTAATCATAAACTCCCTTGGATTATAGATTCCGGTGCATTAGACCATATGACYAGCCTATCTAACCTTTTTTGTTCATACCATCTCCTCTCTGGGAAAGAGAAAATGTACCTAGCCGATGGGTCACTTGCCCCCATCTCTGGTAAAGGAGATATAAAGACCTCTGACACCCTGTTCTTATCTTCTGTTCTCCGTGTTCCTAAGCTTTACACAGACCTTTTATCTGTTAGTAGCTTAACAAAGTCCATAAACTGCAGCATAACCTTCTTTCCCACTCATTGTGTTTTTCAGGACCTGTAGTCTCAGAGGACGATTGGGAGTGGCCATGAGGCGAACGGAATATACCTGCTGGACACACCAGATCAAGCCTTGGGATCACCTCATGGAGTTGCTTTAGAGTCAATTGTGTCAGAGTCTGTTAACAAAATTTTGTTATGTCATTTGTCTTTTTCTGCTTTAATTCATCTGTTCCCAGATATGTTTAAAGGAGTGTCTTTATCTAGTCTTCATTGTAAGTCATGTGAGCTAGCAAAACATTGTAGACATTCCTATTCAATCAGTAATAAAAGATCTTTTTCTCCTTTCCATATTGTTCACTCTGATGTGTGGGGGCCATATCACATGCCAACCATGGGGGGCTACAGGTATTTTATCCTTTTTATTGATGATTATTCTCGTTATACTTGGGTTTATCTCATGAAATCCCGGGATGAAGTACCAATCATTGTGAAAAATTTTCATGAGCTCATCCTCACCCAGTTTAATACCCGTATCAAAATATTCCGCTCAGATACTAAGATGAGAATCAGTCCTCTAATATCAGGTTTAAAATCAGTGATTAACAGTACAAATCAGATCTGAATGATAGTGCAAGAGCTGTGTATGTCGAAGAGAAGAGGTAAGAGAAGAAGTCGAATTAGTCTCCCTTCTCCTCTAACCCTATTTTCATTAAAGTCTAAAACAAATTGATGATGACAAGTATACCCTTAAGTGGGTGGCCAGCTTGGTAGTTACATAAAGAAAATAAAATAAGAACAAATAACAGGCCCATTAAGTGAGGCCCATCAACATAAAATAAAAGATAAAAAAAGGATTTCACATAAGAAGCTGTTAGGGTCCATTCGGCCCAGTCTCTTTACATACTAGTATATAGATTATAAATGATAATAAATTATGCTGAAATGGGTCCACAATTGTTAGTTGCCTTTCCACCATCGGTAACAACAATGCTCTTTAATTGTTATAACAAATAATATTCATTGACAGATAAGAAAGGACTCTATGAACAAATACTAATCATTAACAATGCCCTTTAGCTTAGTCTAAGAGTAGGTTTAATTATTTATCAAGAAAGAAAAACAATGCCCTTTAGCTTAGCCACCCTTACAAGACTTTCATCATCCTGTAACTACCCTTGAGTGCAGGTGACCTGTACAGCATACTCCTGCTGGACCTGCTCCCCCTTCTGGCCAGAGAATTTACATATCTCCTTACAAGTCATAATAAAATGTGCCTCTTGAAAGTTTTTATTTCATTTTAATGTAGTTTACTTTTCCTATCAAAATCAAAATAAAAATAAAATTTACTGATTCAATGGTACTTCAAAGCAATGGTTGTAATTCATATATCTCCACCTCATATACCTTTTTTTTTGTGAAAAAGGTAATATATAATTGTATTAAAATAAGAAAATGTATACATGGTCCTTTGCACTAAGAGATTTTATACATTACACATATCCATTAAAGTCCCTAAAAAAAGTTTATTTTCAAAAACAATGATGAAAAACCATCTCCTCTAAAACAACCAAGAGTAGACATCCAACTTCTAATCACCTCTACTACAAGATTAATTATTGCCACTTTCCTGATAGGCCTTCTGCTAAAAAATTCTGCCGTTCTTTTCAAGTAGGGGAGTCAATGGACTGGTTTCAGGTTGGACTCCATCCGATCGGAAGTTTTATGGATGGTCCTAATATTGATATGGACTTGGACCGGTTCGAACATGAATCATCCATTCATAGAATGGACCGAAAGTGGACAAGGCCAAAAGTTCGAACGAGCCCGCTGATCCGTTCATTTTCATTTGAAGTTTGAATGATGAAGGCTTGAAGCGTGGAAACTTTCGAAGGCTAGGGTTTGATGCCTCCATCACTCCATCTCAAAGTCTTGCTGGCGGTATTTGGTTTGAAGCTTCGAACGAACTGCGACGGTATTTCCCTCTCTTTGGCGATCTTCCTCTTGCCCTTAACCTGCGCACCTCCCACCTCTCCATCTCTGCACTCCACCATCGCTGTCTCCACCACAAGCGCCTAACATGCCACCGTCAGGCCTCCATCTCTCTTCCGACCACCATACCTTGTTTCTGAGTTCTAGGCCATTGGTTCGTTGGTCGTGAGGGTGTCATCCAGAGAGCCGATACACTCACTACCGCAGCAAGCTGATCACCTGACTCTTTCCTGGTTTCTGATGAAGCTACGGGCGTTACAGACAGGGCACCGATTTGATGTGCGATTATCGTCGCCTTTTCTGTGAAAACCCGAGAAACCAGAGAGAGAGAGAGAGAGAAGGTGGTTGCTTTGTTTGTGAGATTGGGAGGTTTCAGTTGTGGTCGTTGTCGGATTTAAGGTTAATTTTTGAAGGTGGGGAGCTGGAGCTAGAGGTCTGGAGGGCTTTGCTTTATATAGAATACATCGGCTGTCAGCATGCTACGTGGCGAGGGACATGCGATGCCCCAGGCTACGACTGAGATTTCTCCAAGTTTGTAGGGATGGATGGTGGGATATTATCGGGGGAGGGGGAAAAGTTTCCAGCCTTCCAGGGTTTGTACACGGTTTGGAAGGAATGTTGCTTTACCAAAGCTCTCAACCAATGAAAAGATGACATGTACGTGTTGAGAGGATGTCGTCTGTTGATTGTTGCTGTTATTTCTTAGTGACCGTTGTGGACTCTTATGGACTGTGAGTAGGGAAAACATTTTCTGAGGAAAACATTTAATTTGGACCGGATTGGGTCCAATCCAGTCCATTTGCATTTCAATTGGACTGGACTGAATCCGGTGTGTATGGGGTTTGTACCAGATTTGGTCCAGTCCATTTGTAAATGGACCAATGTTGGACTGGACCTGATTGGACCAAATCCAATCCAATTGACAGCCCTACTTTCAAGACAAATGGCCCAAAGCACTGCTAAAGGCACATACTGCACAACAAGCTTTTCCTTTTCTTGGACATACCTTGAACTTGCCACCCTGCTATGAGAGTGCTAACAGAAGAGGCAGGACAGTATCTGTATACAGGAACAATCATGCAGAAGTGATGCTAAATTCTAGAGAACTGAGACAAAAGGAAAAGATGATTCAAAGATTCAGTCTCCATGCTGTAAAAAGGACATAGTAGATCAGGCATGCTTTCAACTTTTCTAGAAAGAATCTCCTTAGTCAAACATCTCTCCCATATTACCACCTGTAGAAAAAGTTTGATTTTTGATGGTGCTGCTGTACCCCAAATGGCCTTAGATGTAAACTAGTCCATTTTTCCAAGCAGATCATATTAGAACCTGACTGTGAAAAGACCTGATTTGGTCCACCTCCACTAGCAAAGCTAGCAGGTTAGCTACTTTCTGCTACTGATGCAGTGATGCTTCCTTATTGCTGGATATTCAGAACAGCTTTGGAGAATTATCTTTCAAAACCTTATCCACTTACCAAGGGTCTTTCCAGAACTTTATTATTCTTCTACCATTCCCTAACCGATACCCCTCCAAACACCAAAACCATAATGTAACTGAGAACCTTCTGCATCCCACCAATTATCACATAATCCATATTTTTTCTGCAATCACTTTCCTCCATAGACTAGTAGGTTTTGCAACGAACTGCCAGAACCATCTACCCAAGAAAACTTTTTAACTGAGAACCTTTACTCTCCTCGCATTTGCCATCTTATGGAAGAAAGAGGTATTATATTCCCCAGATTTTAACCACTTTTCTCTAGATCTCTACCCCCATATAACTTCATCTTGGTATGCTATTGAGTCATAATGCTTGGCCAACTTTTTCTTCTTTCTCTGAAGTTATTCCCAACCTTCCATTTTCCTCGGAATCTATATCAGCAATGACTCTCAAACATTCAGCCTTGTACTTGTAGCTGATTTAGCATGCTCTTTCTGCCATGATTTAATCTTGTTTTTTATCCATTGGAGCCTTTTTACACAAACAAAACTTGTCAACCCTTCAAACCAAGCCTCAACCTACTATTTGTGAAAATTATTGTTAAATTCTTCCACTTCCATCTAGCAATTCTCCAAATGTAAGGGATTAGGCTTTCTAATTATGCGTCTAGTATTCACAAGAGGGGTATGTGATCTGAAAGAGCCTAGGAAATTAGGAATTGGGGAATATCTCTTCACACTCATTAGAAATTAGGAATCTATCTAACTAAACAAGAGAAGGCCTTTCTTGGTTGTTGACTAAGTAAATTGTGCACTTGAGATTTGACTAAGTGTCATTTTGTTCTATGCGTACAGTAGGAACTCTCTGTTTCCCTCTCGCTTTTATGCACAACATACAGACACAGTGGAAGTAGAATTGGGAATTTATTATCATAGTCCAACAGCCTTAGTTTTATTATAATTTCCTGAGATCGCATATGCCTTTATATCTTTGCCACTTGAGCATGTGGCTGTTAGCTTTTAAGCTTATGATTTGATTTTATGCATGGTTGAGTTCTGGTATCCCAACCTGTGATGCACCTTTTCCATGAAATGGAGAGAAAAAAATTGTAAGGGGGTCTGACTTGAAATACGGTAGCAATTTAAGGCTGTGACATAGACCTCGGTCGTGTCTGAACTTGGGCATTGGGACCTCTGATGTAGTTATATTATTTCTGGGAGAGTGATTCCAATATAACTGTTTAACTTTGTGGAAATGCTTGTATTTTTCTCTGGCACCTGATTAAAGTTTAAGGTCCAGTACAAACTTTTCTGTATATTTAAAAACTATCACAACCTTTAAAACAGAATTTATACAATATGCCTCATTTGGTTTGCTATGTTATTTAAAGGCTAGAAAACCTCTAGGAGTAATCATTTCATTTGGTGTGAGGAACTAAGATATTTCATTCTTTTTTTCTTTACTCATTTTTGTTTTTTTTTTTGATTGTCAATAGAAAGGTGATTCAAATCGGTTCCAGAAATTGTTCTTAAGAACAGTTACTTGTATGAGGACAGTATATTCACACAGATATAATCTGTCATGTGGCTCCCCCACCTGCACATTTCTTTTTAATAGAATATGCTGATATAAGCCTTGTCATTGATTCTAGGAATAATGAATTGATGTTTGACTTTTTCCAATGAAAGATGTTAGAGTAATTTTGGATTTAGTTTTGTTGATGTGTTACAAGTAATATTGATCCCCAATTTCATTAACCTTTTATATATATATTTGTTCTATTTTGGAAGGCATATGCAGTGACTGCAATCATGAAAATATGTGCATTTGAAATTGCAGCTGGGCGAAAAGTTGAACTGTTACCTGAGGTAGGTTATGTACAATTCTATGTAGAACTCCTTATTTCTTTCGTTGTTTAATTTGATTTCTGTAGTTCCAAAATTGAGTACATCATAGCTCTCTTCCAACAATTCTAAAGGCCAGTTTATTAGCACTTGCCTCTGCTTCTTTTGTTACACCACTAAGATGAAATTAGTTTTTTTTGTTTAATTACTCTAATTAATTAGTATATAACCCTTTTACTCTTTTAGCTATCTTGTCTTCTTTACATATGTCATATACTTACCATCTTGATTTTTTCTCCTCTTCTGCTACCATGTGTTTTGATTAGATTGAGAATCCTCTTTTGTAGTTGTATGTTCTTTTTCATTTTCATTTGTATTATAGTTATTTAGTAAGTGGATCATATCAGAATAGTAAGACAATCTTCCAATCACTGAATCCCCATTTGTTCTTTTAGGAAAGGTTTTTTACAAATATGATTTTCATTGGAAAGTGTTGATGATATTCTAAAATTTTAAATCTTAAACATATTGTTTACCAATGAAATTTGAAATATTGCCAATATCGGAGATTTTAGGGAAAACATATTCTTGGAATATTTTGAATTGCCCCTACAAAGATGGGGATATTTCACCTATTATCACTGATATTGCAAACCATGGATGGAATGGCCAACTCAGCAGACAAGAGTCAGGACATGGTCGTTGTTCAAAGGTGGCCAGGTGGACCTGAAATTGTCCCCCTGCCCTTCTCAACATGGTCCTTTAAGCAAATATGTGATGTTGATTGCAGCCCTAGGACATCTTTGATGGCTTCCAGTGCTTCAGAATGTATCATTTGTTGTGGACTCGCCTAAAACCTTCACACTTTAGTGGTGATTTTTTTCACCTAACTCCACATATTCTGACAAGCCCAACCCTCATCATCATAGTGAACTCTTGGAGCCCCTGGTTATTAATTCAAATGAAGCTTGGATCAACTGTGAAGAAGATGGATTGGGTGCAGGTGGAATCCTCTGGTGGATGTTCAAAGCTTATTTGACACAAATACCTTTGGGTGGCCAACAAAGAGAGGAAGGTTAATGTGGAATTGCATTAGAGCTGCTATTATCTGGACTGTTTGGGAAGAAAGTAATGCAAGAATCTTCTCATTGAAAGAAAGGGATAGTGTTATCTTTGAAACAATCAAGATTAAAGTGGTGCATTGGCTGAAAGTCCTTGGCATCCTTCTCTCATGTGTCAACAGATGATCTAATAAGAAGTTGGAAGGAAGTAGCAGATTCTTCAGCCCATAAGATAATCATCAATCACACTTGGTCACCACCAAATAGAGGTTTTGTTAAGCTTAATTTTGATGGTAGCAGCTTGGGGAATTCTGGACCTTCAGGTATTGGAGGTGTATTTAGTGACGAGGAGGGTAAATTCATTACTATGTTCTCAGGGCAAGTTGGAGAAGGAGATTCCCTGAGAGTAGAAAGTGTTAACCATAGTGGAAGGCATTCAAAGGGCAAAGCTAATGAACATTCAAAAGCTTTTGGTGGAAGGAGACTCTAAACTGGTGATTAGCTGGTTACAAGATGGGGGGTCAAAACAGTGGCTTTTCAACAATGAAAGGAAGAAGATCAGGTGGCTAACCAGAGATATGGAAATAATTGTTGGGTGGGGTTAAGAGATCTGCTAATTCTGTAGCAGATGCCTTGGCCAAACAAGGGGTGGAGAGAGACTCATTATTCTGGGCACATTTGTAAAGGATCTGGTTGCATTTAGGGAGAGATAAGTGGTTTTATCTCTCACAGCCTGTCTGTTTTTAATGTATTGTACCTTCCTTCTTTCTTAATTAATAAAATGTTGAGTAATTGATCTAAAAAAAAGATGGAACACTGGACAACATGGATAATGTAGGAAGTGTGGAATGTGGATGCAAAACCAATGCAATCAAGGATTTTGTTTCATGCTTTTTTGAGAAGAGGTAAAGTATTGATTCATTAAAAAAGGAAAAGGAAACCCATGTACAACCAGAGGCCATACAATGGGGAATACAAAATAAACATTAAACTACTATCCCATTTGCCATTACAAAAAGGTTTTCAAAAAGAAAGAGAGAACTAAGGGTACGCTGTTTCTTGATAGATGTGCAGTGACCAGGATAGAAGTTTCCCAACTATTTTTTGCCACACTTCCTCTTCTTGACAGCCTTTACTTCGAAAGAGCCTTGAGTTTCTTTCCTGCCAGATTGACCAGAAGACTTCTCCTGGGACCATTTGCCATAGCATTTTCCCTCTCTTACTCAAACCATGTGTCCACCAACCTTTTACAAAAGCTTCCACTGATGCAGGGTGGCACCTTTTAATAACAAAAATTCTAAATATTTTCACCCATATGTTGTATGTAAAGCTGCAATGCTGCAACAGGTGGTCAGCTGACTCATCTACTCCTATACATAACACACAAACAGGTGAGCCAATCACCATTCCCCTCCTAATCAGGTTGTCTTTTGTAGGAATCTTGTTCAGATAAGCAGACCAAACAAAGAAAGCTACCTTTGAAGGGATAAACTTACTCCAGATTACATGCCAAGGGACATCCTGCTCATCCTCTTGGGTCAGTTTATAATAAAAAGATTTTACTGTAAACTGACCCTTTCAATCTGCTGTCCACACCCTTCTGTCCTCTGAATTAAAATCTATTCACATGCTGTACAATTTCTGAAGTAGTTGCCCAAGAGGTTCAATTTCCCAATCATTTAGGGCTCTTCTAAACTGTGGGCTCCAAACATGAACTTTTGAACATGCATAATCAGGCACTTTTGCTTATCCACTGCAATCCATCCAGAATTGAACCCCTGTTCCTCTTCCTACTTCAAACTAAATTCCCTTGCTAAATGAACTGTAACTCTTTTCAACTCCTTTCCAAATCGAGCAACCAAATGACTGATTTGTCTCTCCTGGATCCCATCCCTCATTTCTTGTCCCATACTTTTCTTGAATTACTCTGTTCCATAAAACACCCCCTTGTTGTCCGAACCTCCAGAACCACTTCCCAAGCAATGCTAAGTTCAGCTCTCGAATTCTTCTAATACCCAGTCCCCCATTCTTTTTTGATTTACACACCTTTCCCCCATTGACCAAGTGAAGTTTTTTGTCATCTTTCCAACCTCTCCATAAGAATTCCTTCATGAGTATTTAGTGGCCATCCCTGCTGAAATTGGGTATAATGATAATAAATGAACAGGTAAAGAGGACAGAACACTCCTTATTAGAGTTATTTGACCCCCCATTGACAGGTACCTCGCTTTCCATCCAGCCAGCTTTTTCTCAATCCTCTCCACTATTGGCTCCCATATAGATCTAGCATTACAGTTGGCTCCCAAAGGCATTCCCAGATATTTTAAAGGAAACTTTCCCACTTTGAAACCCCATGAATCAGCCCAGCCTTGTAATTCTTGTACCTCACCTACTGCAACCAGCTCGCTTTTCTGCACATTCAAACGTAGTCCAGAGGCTACTTCAAAACACCATAATATTGCCATCAAAAAATCAAGTTGCTCCCACGAAGCATTGCAGAAGAAAACTGAGTTGTGTGCAAACTGCAGCAAGGGAATCTCTAATATGTTCTCTCCCACTGAAAAACCCTCTAAAAATCCGCCTGAAACTGCTCTCAAAGTCATTTTTCCCAAAACTTCCACATAGAAAAAGCAGGGGAGACAAGGGGTCACCTTGTTTAAGACCCCGTGAACTCCTGAAGTGACCACAGGCCATGCCATTAACCAAAACTGAGAATGTAGGAGTTGTAATACACACCTTCATCCAATTCCTCCACTTTGAGCTGAAATTCATCCTCCTTAATATATAATCCAAGAAACCCCAATTTACATGATTCTAGGCTTTTTCAAGATCCATTTTACACAACAGTCCAGCTCTTCCACTCCTAATCCGAGAATCAATTAGTTCTTTTGCTGTTTGAATCCCATCCACCAACTGTCTTCCCTCAATAAAAGCACCCTGGAACTCTGAATTAACATAACCCATGACTTGTTTCAGCCTTTTGGCAAGCACTTTGGATAAAATTTTGTAAACACTACCAATAAGACTGATTGACCTGAAATCCTTAAGTTCCTCGGCCCCTTTTTTCTTAGGAATTAGAGAGATAAAAATGGAGTTTAGACTTCTTTCTAAAGTAGCTGAAGAATGAAACTCTGAGAAGACTGCCATTATATCCTCTTTTAGAAAACTCCAGCAATTTTTGAAGAACTTCATCGTGAGGCCATCTGGGCTGGGGGCTTTATCCTCTTCCATTTCATTTATTGCTTCCCACACCTCCTGCTCCGTGAATGCCCTTTCTAAATTTCTTGTCTGATCTTCAGATAAACTGCTGAATTCTAAACCATCTACCTTAGGCCTTCTCTTCCATTCTTGTAAATCTTCGAAAAGAAACATTCTGCTGCCTCTTTAATTTTCTCTTCCTCCTCCACCACTTCCCCCTCTATGACCAGCTTCTTTATCATATTTTCTCTTCTTCTAGCATTTTCCATTTTATGGAAAAATCTGGTATTTTTATCCCCCTTTCTTGGCCACAAACTTTTTGATCTGACTCCATTTCATCTCCTCTTGGTAAGCAAGTTTGTCAAAGTTTGCCTTGGCACTCCATCTTCTTCTTTTATCTTCCTCTGAGATTTGTTCTTTCTCTTCAGCTTTATCCACCTCCAATATAATATTCAGGCAATCCTTCTTCCTTATGTCCACCCCTTTAAATACTAGTTTCCTCCAAACCTTTATCTTCTCTTTAAGGCATTTTAATTTCTTGCTGATTCGGAAACTTGCTGATCCTTCAAAATGGAATTGAGACCACCACAACTCTACCAGATTCACAAAGCCTTCCTCTTCTAACCAGAGGTTCTCAAATCTAAACAGGGATATGGTTTAGGAGGTACTCCACAGCTGTCCAAACAAATCGACATGTGATCTGACAACAGGCGGAAAGAGACTCCATGGAGAGTTGGCCAAATTTCTCTTCCCAATCTGCTGAAA